TAACAGCATTAGTTTTAGTCCAGGTTCAACTTTAGTGTACGTATGGTTGTAAAAAATGTGGTATAAGTGTCTTGTTGACTACGTTAATATAACTGAAAGTAATTTTAGTGATTCCGTTAGCATTGGCTACACACTACATTGGGTACACGTTAAAATATTTATTTTCCAAACTCCTGTCAAGTAATGTCCAATATAAATGCAAAAAAGAAGAGGAGGTACTCCTCTTGAATTTGAGGACCCAGGTATGCATGGATCCTTAACCTTGCAGATGTCTTAGGCTAATTTACACCTTTCTGTGCTAATGTCATATTGTAGTAAGGTTCCATGCCAAAGCTCCACGAGGGGAGGATAGATCAATATAGTGAAGAATCGTGTGTGAATTTAGCACTATTTTTAACACCTGACTCAGACTAAGCATCAGATAGCATAAAACTCATATTATAAATATATAATTATTCACATCTAGAAAATACAATAATAGACTAAAACCGATTTTAGGTAATACTATAAAAAGTTTTGGATTATTTACAGACATATTAGTATAGTTATCTCTTTTTTTTTGCGCTGAATAAATTACTTAATACCATTGATAGTGTTATTCGTGTAAATTAATACTCATAATCAAACTCTACCAACGAAAGGGATTAAAAATCTTTAGATTATATGCAGACCATCCGTTGAAATATTTATAATTGTTATTTTCAGTACTTTTGTGTTTAAGTGATAATTACAAAATTAATGAATATTACGTGTTCTATCTGTGTTTACCTTTATTTTTTTCCATTTGTAACAAATAAACAGAAGATTTATTGTTGGCATATGAATTCTATTTAATCTAAAGTAAGTCCCCAAAATGATTAGTATTTATGGGTTATTTCATTAGGTTCTTATGGTTTCATATGCAACAAATCAAACTGTTTTACTAATCCTTTGCCATTTACTCATAGTAAGTTTACACAAAATACAGAAAGGCGGTGTCTACATCAATATTAACTTCGCGCAGGTGTGTTTATCTTAGTAAGTTACTTTACTCGAGAGCGGTGTTAAGTCGGAGATAAGTTGCCTATAGTGCGCATAATAGTCTTATCTTATTTGCATTCCTTGGATTGTAGTATTAGAACTTACAAACTTAGATAACAAGGTTATTTTAAATTTAATTAATTTGTAAATTTAATTTGTATTTCATTTGCATATTGAGTATGAGTATCCTAAATGTATAAATACCTACTACAATGAAATATTGTGACTGTAATAAACATCAAAGTATTTTATTGTATTTGCTATTTAATTTCAATCTGACTGACTTGTTTATCCGCTATCGAATGTGACAAGTAATTTTTAACATTTTCTCATTTGCAATCCCACTTATTGGTAGCGTACAAAGATTTAAATCTTTGGTAGCACCCTCCACTTTTTCTATCAACGCTGTACTCGACGTCGACGACTGAGATGGACCTTGAGTACGCGTTGACGAATCTACGTATTCAGCCAATTTTTAATAGATTTTATACTCTGATGTAAAGAAAACTGTGCTTAATAGTCCATAACCCTCTAAAATAAATTACTTATAGCCACGGACCTGAAAAAAAGACGGACGTAATATCAAAGGCAAATCTTGTGAAGCATGACAATGACATGTATTCAGACAAAATCGTGTGTTGTACACTACCTACACTCACACTAATGCACCAGGTCGGACAATCCACTGCCATTTGAACTCGCGTGACAGCGCCAGTCACACGTTCAATTGCTCCGATATATTTTAAAAAAAATGCCGTCTTGTGTGGTGAAATCTTTTAAAAACTACACGAGTAAATTTGAAAAGTCACAAGGAATCACCTACTATGCTTAAGTATTGACGATTCTTGATATTTTTTTATATTATATTTTATTTACAAGGATGAAAATTGTAAACAAAAATACAACTGTGTGGCTACTTTATTTACGGGAAATTTTCCCTAAAAGTAGGGAAATTTGTATTTCTTGCATTTGTGACTAGGCAAGATAATATTTCGTAAATTTTTAGGGTTCCGTATCCCAAAAGGAAAAGAAAAGAAGCCATATTATTCATAGAATATTTTATATAAATGATTGTCTTGTCTTCTTTCTAATAGGTTTCCTAAAAATAGAAACCGTAGAGATGACTGGGTTTTAATTATTCGATACTGCAAAGGGGATAACACCTGTGTGCAGTGCACACGTTGTTTGGTTTTCGTTCAAACCGGAGCCTATTAAGAAGAAATATTAAAAACTAGGGTCCGCCCTCACTTCGCTTCGGTGTAGAGCTGAATACCTGCATGCAAAGTCTCAGCCCGATCGGTTTAAAATTGACAAAGTTCCATACAAACTTTCATTCCCTATTTTATCCCCTTGGGGGTAGAATTGATCAAAATCCTTTCTTAGCGGATGCCTACGTCATAACATCTACCTGCATGCCAAATTTCAGCCCGATCTGTCCAGTGGTTTGGGATGTGCGTTGATAGATCACTATGTCAGTCAGTCAGTCACCTTTGAGTTTTATATATATAGATACAGTTGAAACCCGTTAACAGAACTACTATACAAATAAACTTTTGAAACTAAATTACGATAACCAAAATTATTACAAAATGAATTACAGGCAGGACTTGAACCTGCGTTTTCTGCTGTCTGGGTGGATGCACTAATTGCTATGCTACCAAGAACTTAATGATCGTGACGAATTTCTTCTTGTATTTCTTAGGCTGCACGTTAGTGCCATTTCTTCGCATTGTAGGTAAACCACGATGTCAAATGAAACCATAGATATAGGATGTAAAGATAGACAGAGTACCTTTCGCTACTGTTCCAAAAAAATATCTGTGCATGTGTGCGTATCGGTGTTTCATTCCGAGTGATAGTGTCGATTTATCAAGATATGCTTAAAACACAGGATACCATAACACATACTTATTCAGTTTATAATAAGCACATTTGTGTTGTGTTATATTTATTTATTATTATGATTATATGCATTATTGTTTTCTTAGTTTCACAGAATTTCATAATTTTTATCTCAGTACGACTTGACAGGGCGCTGCGGCTCTTGCAAAAAATATATTATTAGACGAAAGGTACATCATGTTGCATCTCTTTCTACGTTATAGGATTGGCATGATACCTACTCAATCTATGAATGAAATACATACTTACATTTGAAAGAAGAAATAGCAATATTAGTCTATTATATTTTTATTTTAAGCATTAATCTGCGCGATTTATGTATATTAATGTATGTTATTAACCTCATACATAATATTAAGACACTAACATTTATGTGTAAGCAATAAAGTTCTTTTTACATAACAAGTGCTTTCTTTTCTATCTCGGTGTTCCTAAAAATTAATTTGATAGACCGTTTAAATTGCTGAAAAATCAGGAGCTCACAACGAGTAAAACACGTGGTAAATATCCCGTTTTTATAATATATATTTGATTACATAATGTTAACAATGTTTTAGTTTGGGAGATTTGAAATTGATGATTTACCCGACAACCCTCAAATCACGCACACACTGTAAGTGGGCGGCCATTTGCATGCTTCACTCGAGATAAGACGAGGTTACGTCCGTCTTTTTTTCAGGTCCGTGCTTATAGCATAAAAAGATACAGTGGAGAGACAGATATATTTATTATATTATAGGAGTGACAGATGTAAAAACTGTCAATATGTAAACAAGTTTAAAAAACGCTCAAGGGTGTTTTTAGATTTTTGGAGTTTACTCCTTAAGAATCGATTTGCATATATAAGGGGCCCGGTATTAGAAAAATGTGAGGAGTAAAATCTATCGATGAATGACCTCGTTACGTTTTTGGTGCGCATCCTATGTCGCGCAACTTATACAAACAAAGATGACGGATTGACATTAATATTTTTTTTTTAAATCTGAACTGAATTTAGATATTGTTTCTGAAAGAGCAATGGGGACAACGAGTTATGGTACAACCATTGATGCGGTATTTTCAAGATTCGTAAACCACGTATATACGAACGTCCATGTGTCTTATTTTAGTTACCGTAAACCACTTGTCACTGTAATTAATAATGCAGACAATGTTGTTTTAATTAATATTTAAAAAAAATAATAATAGTCTGATAATAATAATTACATAATTTATCAACATTCCTAATGATATATTTATGCACATCTGAAATTGACTATTGTAAAATATTTCGTCGATTAGTTATAATAAATGTATATGAAATGAATAAATATATATTTATATATGTATATTATTTTCATGAATTTGTTAATTTACCCTTTCATACAGTATCAATCTTTTTTAAGTTAAATAAACTCTTTTTGCGTCTGGTTATACTATCGAACTTAAGGAGTAAACTCCAGTCGTGCGTATGAACTATCACACACAATTTTTTATCCTTTTTCTGGACATCAATGTGTTTGAGGTCCTTTAACGAGCAAAAACTTTATGGTTTCCCCTACTACGCATGAGTGTTGAATAAAGTATCTTAAATCCTAAAAGTTCAAAGTACTAACTCAAATGCTTTCAATGCACGGTTTCTGATAGTCTCTATAGTCATGAGGTCAAATACACGCAGGTGCGCACCCGTACATTCTCTGAGTTCGGTTACGATATTGTGATGTGTTTCCATCTGTTTTAGCTAAATATAGTGTTTTATACTGTACAGACACAACTTAAACTCTTCTGCTAACTCTACAAAGTTTAAATATCTGGAAGCTATGTTGGTAAGTTTTCCTTAAACAAACAATTCAATTCGATTGATTGCCTAGTTCTGTTATTATAACCCATCTTCAATGACACAAAGGAATTTATAAATAGTTTTACCATACGATAATTGGAATTACGTAATCTCAAGAAAGCTTAGCACAAAAATGATAATTGTAATAAAATTAAGGATTAAATGTTATTAACAGCTGTCAGGATTCGTAAGTCATTATCAATTATCCAGAAGATATAATCAAAGTGAACTATATAAAACCATGATTTTAAAAAGGTGTGTAAGCATTATACTTTTATTAGCGTGTTGGTACTGGATCAAAATGCATTTTTTTCTGTCTATAATTTTTCTAAGTTTCACTGCACAAGCTCATTGTGCCGATCATTTAAACAGCTGGCACGAATCTGTTGGCATTAAAAATGCTGAGGAAATCAAGAAGTATGAAGCTAACCGCATTGTTGGAGGAGCGGTTGCTCCTGTGGATGCTCACCCGTATCTCGTTGGTTTACTGATTGACCTATGGGGTTCTCCGTCAGTCTCAGCCTGTGGTGGATCACTCTTGTCTCATAACAGGATCTTGACAGCGGCACACTGCTGGTACGACGGAGTTTTTACAGCATGGAGATTCACTGCCGTCCTAGGTTCACCGTTTCTTTTCCATGGAGGATTGAGAGTAATACCCGATAGAATTGCTATACACCCAGAATACGATGCGAGAACATTCGCAAATGATATCGCTATGCTCATGACACCAGTTCGCATCCCGTTCACGCACAACATTCAACCCATACTATTACCCCAAGGCGAAATGTTACAAGAGAGCTTCGAAGGAGATTGGACTATAGCATCGGGGTATGGGAGGTATTCTGATTTAAACAATCCTACTACAAATACGATGGCAAGATACGTTTTCCTCAGAGTGATTTCATTGGCGAAGTGCAGATCTTTCTATGGCAATATCGTGTTGGACTCTAACATTTGCACCAATGGGCACGGAGGCACAGGAATCTGTCAGGGAGATTCGGGAGGACCTTTGATAGTGATTCGGCATGGGCAACCAGTACTGATCGGCGTCAGCTCGTTTGTGGCTCGTGATGGTTGTGAATTAGGTTTTCCGTCAGCGTTCGCTAGAGTTTCCACTTACATAAACTGGATACGTCAACGACTATAAGTCTTATAATTATTTATGCCAATCAACCGTTGAGCCTGCGCTGCGTTCAGCAGGAGCACGAAGCGGGCGGGGTGTTTGTTTCATGTAATTTCATAGAGCACCGCTGCTGCACGATAAAAATTGTTAATCTCATTTTCACTTATGTTAATGATATTTACCTATTTTAAATCGATTTAGTATCATTTGTTATTTATTTTTTTTACATTCCGTGAGAACCAAATGTTCGACCTTCATAATTTCTATACTTATTGTGCATTGATGTTTTTCTCTTTTGTCAAAACAAAGCTTTCATTATTTTTGCGTCATTCTGAGAGAAGTAGCAATATTTTTTAATTATATTTCTTTGAAATTTTAATTATATTCAATTATCATCAAAGTACTTAATTGTTTCATTTATTATAAAAGAAAACAATTTACGTGCTATTATTTTCATTAATCGTATGACATGTCGTGGTAAATGTATAAAGTATATTTAAACAAAAAAAGCTAACAAAATAATTCATTTGTTCGCTACTATCCCAACAGTTAGGAACTGAAAGCTAACGTCTCGCAATGAAGCCGCCATGTTGCTCGTTACATTGCTCGCTCATTACGTGATGCAAATTTTTCTCTTACGCAATTCGTACCATCTACAACGGTACTGGGGGTTTTATGTAATTAAAATTATAAACCTGATCACTATCTACGATGAATATAATAATAATAATAACTTTATTAGGAACAAGTTCATTATACGAGTACATACAATCATGAAACGTTAAATCTGCTATAGTTTTACAAAAAGTGTTGTAGAATTGACGCCCATTCCCGTTTAATGTGAATACAGTGTTCCTATCAATGTATAAATAAAACAAACTGTATTTTTACTAGATAGTTAAGTCAAATGAGATAAAAATATTCATAATTCACAATCTATCGAAGGTAACTTGAAAAAGTAAAAAGTATTTATGAGTGCATTTCTATCAACATTATAACAAAATAATACTGTATTTTACCAAAAATTAAAATTAAGACAAATAAAAACATTTGATTATTATGCTCACATTAGAAGGTAGGTAAACACAGATAATACAAATCTATTTAAATTACAATATTATACCTACCAGGACACTACAAAGCAATTAATCATGATCTAGAATAGTTAAATCCAATCCAAGACACAATTTTGCACATATCGTACCAACATCACTGCAAAAAAAGTTAATTAAAGCATACGAACGTCATTATTTGGTATATTATAGTAGAAATAACCAGCAGTAAAAAAGTTAATCGAAGTACTATACATACTATGTAATGTAAGCGAAATATATAAAAGAAGAAACTGAGTGACTGACTGGTCAGTCAGTCGACAATAACGCACACAGCCCATACCGCTGGGTGCATGAATTGATGCATGTTTTGTTTTTTCTTTTCTTTATTTGTGGCAACAAATAGTCATAAATTTTAATATAATTGTTCTGTGGCTACAGTGAAATTATAAGAGACGACCTGCAGTGCCAGCAATTTAATTATTACTTACAGAAAAACATTATAGAACAAGTATTATACTAAAAAAAAACAATACATAAGAAGATAAAACACATAAACATGCAAAAATCCTTAAATTTAAATGTTGTGTTTTAATTTCAGTTTAAGAAATTTCTTTAAATTACTCGTACTATGTGAAATATTAAATATATCAATGTTATTGAAATTATTATTACAATTATTGGTGGAACTAAACGAATAAAGGAATTTCGCGTGTATAATTTAGTGAGTGGTGGAGAAACAAATAGTATTAGCTTGCGAGAGGACCGCATACGATTTGATTGCAATCCTATTGAATTGATTACTCAAGTAATTGTAACTTTATTTCATTTTTTTAACAAATATAAATAGAAACGTTCCTTTTGCATGCTATATAGCACATGGCAAATATGCTTATTTTCTGTCCACACCAACATTTTAATATACCAACCCTGTTTGTATTTGATAAATATTTTGAATACGATGCCTATTTATATTTTCGGAAAAAGACCACAAATTACAAGAAGCTAAAATGAAATCAGTCAAATTTAGGTATGCAATGAAATTCAATTTAATCCACAATTTGGGGCAATCGTGGACAGGAAACCAATAGGATCCGGGTTAGAAGGGATATTGTTTCGGGAAATTCGCTAATGGATCACAAATACCTCATAAATAATTTATTTCTCTTCGTTAATCTAAAGTACTTTATATTCGCCTAATGATATGGTAACCAGGAATAATAATTACTTTTTAACTGAAAAAAACTGAATGCCCTTGCTTCATGTGATTTATTATCATTATTTTATTCATTTCTACAACTACAACTCTGTACGGAATCCTCATCTTTCCCTATTATTATCATATTTTTCCCCTACATACCAGTCTGACTGAATGAGTTTGGTATGTTATGTATGGAAAAAAATAATGATAGGGAGAGATGATAAAAAAGAGATTGATTGCGGGTTGGACCTGCTTATCGAGGGCTTTGTACAGAGTTGTAGGTATGGATTTTCCTTTTTTGAAGTGAAAACTTCTTTAGCAGTGCTGTACACTTTTTATTGTATGGGTAAAAAATGATAAACTCGCGCCAGGTTAAATGATCGCATCATGAGACACAATAAAATTGGAAAGGTTGACTTTCAATATATTGGACGAAACATAGTAATATTTTATTTTATCGTATTATAATAATAAGCCTGTATCTAGGACGTCCAGGTGGCAGCTTTATTGCGAAGAATATGCATTTTTTTACAATAGATGTCGCTAGGTGCGCTTAAATGAGTAATTCTGAGAGATAAACTTTTTAATGTAATATAAATTGTCATGTTTGTCTACGATAGCGCAATAAATAAATATTGTATTCTACCACATAAATCATAGCACTTTATACTGATAATTAAAGAAATTCGTGCAAAATTGCATTCCAAAACATCAAAAATGCACAACGTTAATATTTAAATTTTGTACTTCTGCCGGCACTCCCGGAGTGCAACTCGTCGTTATTTTTTTTTATGATTCCTCGTCCAAGAATGATCCGTGATTCTTGCACCGTTTATCGATTCCAAACTATATAGTTTCAGTGGGGTCATAGTCGTCTTTATTGGATACAATTTAGTATACCTACCTACTAATACTTGTTCAATGATGCCTACAATAGTTTTAGAGAATATTTTCTACGAGTCAGCGAGGAGAAAGAATGGTCAAAGCTATTAATTTTTTCCACTGCTGCAGCTGCACTTTGGTATGCCATAATGGCAATGCACTGCCATAGGATGTTCTGCAATTTCTGCGAACATATAAGTATCACGAACGAGACGGATTTAAATACCTCCTCGTTAGGGGCTTCCACGCCTCTTAATCCGGCCCTGTACATGCACATTTTTTCGATTACATCATAATTTAGATATAAAGTTAGTGCCTATCAACATTCAAACAATATATCTGGCAATCTTTTTTGCACTCCTAGACTGAGTACATAGATATTCCCAGAATAATATTTCAAGGGCCCCATGTTATTTATATGTAACGTGTAATAAATGATACGAAATCACCTACCTCTATTACCTATATAAGAAAACCAAAATTTCCGTCCAACCATCAGTCATCGTATATGTTGATAGCTTATCTATCATCCGTCGTCTAACGGACGCGTTATTCCAATCGTGGGCTTACAAAAGCATGAACCATTATCGAATTCGAATAGTTTGCGAGTGCGAAATGTCAATGTCAAATTTTGTAGGAAACTGGAACAGCAGCGCCACAAAGTACGTAACGAGAAGAATTTCGGACTCGCAAACGTTACGAATTCGATATTGGTTCGTGCTAAGGGTACTGTAATCAAGACATTAGTTGGTTAACTTGGATCAGACCATTCCGTTTACTTGTACGTAATCGTGTCAGCAATAAGTAATAATTAATTAAAGTCGAAACTTGGAAACACGCAAAGGGTTAGGTTGCGAGCTCGGTTCATCAATCACTCATCTTTTCACAAAAAATCAATTCCTATAAATAAAGGCAGGCTGTATATAGGGTAATAAAATTGAAATCATTGGGTTGTTGAACAGTGAATACTTTTCATAAAATCTTTGATGATTTCATTAGAGGTATCCAAGAGGTATTAAATGCAGTTTTAGGTGTTTGATTCTAAAATTCAAAGATTAAATAATTAATTGTTAAAATACCTGTACTAAAGCTCGTAGTCTAATCTAAGATTCTAATATTTTAAAGAGGGAAGTTTTGATTGTTTGTTTGTATTGAAAAGGCTCCGAAAGTACTGGGCCGAATGGAGAAAATCTTTCACATTTATAATCCTATATTATCACCTGACGAACATATGCTATAGATTCTTTTCAAAAAAGTAAGGGTTCCGTATGAAAACGTTGATTATCTAACCCAAAGTGTGAATAAATACAAAAAATCTAATAGCGCGAACCCTGCGAAAGTCATTGACAATAGACTACAAAGTAGCTTTGTTCCTTATTAACAGAATTATAGACTACTGGACTTATTTTTTTCTTTTCAGTTTTTATTTGAAGTATAATTATAAAGCAGTCGGGTTTTTTGATTTTTTAAATTTACCTTTTTTTTTATCGATGCTCCGATACTACTGGTCCAAGAGTGATGTTACATAGCCTTTCTCGATAAATTCACTACCACTTATAGGATCACTTTTGTCCATTCGTCCATCCGTCTGTCAAGATCCTTTTAAAATAACGCGTCTACTGTCCCTTGGAGCTGTGAGAAAATCAAACTTCTAACCCAACGCAATCAAAAGATACAGTCGTTTATGCCACAAATTTCCACAAATTTTCAAAACTCGCAAGGGAATCGAAGCCTACAGTGTACTTCTCGTGAACTCAGAATCTTCAAATTTGGTACGAAGCAACGTCTAAAAAACAGCACGAAGCACAAATAAAGGAAAAAATGCGAAAACCGTAAATATACCTACAGTTTGTACGGAACCCTCGTTGCGCGAGTCCCGACTCGCACTTGGCCTGTTTTTAGGGTTCCGTAGTCCTGACAAGAAACCCTTATAGTTTAGTCC